AGCTTAGTCCTAAGTGTTGACGAGATAGAGAGGATATTTATCAATTGGAGAGATATTATCGCGTGCAATGATAACTTCTTGAGGTACCTAGATTTTTATTAGTATATATATATATATATATATATATATATATATATGATAGAACGTACTTTCCATCACAATGCTAAAATCGCTAAAGAAACGCGATAAATCTCTTGCAGGACTCTAAGGATACGAAGGGACAATAGCTATAACGGAGTAGTTAGAATGATCGGCGATATATTATGTGAAAATGTAAGTGTAATCTTAAATGTGTATGTGTGAAAACCGTTTTTATTATCTTATTGAAATTTATCTATATACGATGTATGCATTTTGCACAGATACCTAGGATGTCAGCTTACATAAGATTTTGCAGCAGCCAAATATCTGCTGCGTCATATCTACAGCGTTTGACAGAAACTTCGCCGGAATTCGTTCAGGTTGCACAGGCATGCCAGCAAGATCCGCGGACGAAAGGGATGCCGTTAAGTTCGTTTTTAATTAAGCCGATGCAGAGGATAACGAAGTATCCACTTATCATCGGCAAGGTACCTGTCTTTATCTTTAAATAATTCTAATCAACATTACATGTGGTATATATAACATGGTAATTATAGATATTAGAATATACACCGATGGCTCATCCCGATAGGCAATACCTGCAGGAAGCATTAGCCAAATCTGAGGAGTTTTGTATTCAAGTAAATATAATATCAATATAATACAAAATCATATAATATGTAACATTCTATATATCTTAATTCTAATATACAAAAATTCTAAAAGAATAAAGTTTTATAAATTTATTTACATTGTTGTACATTATGTAGGTAAATGAAGGAGTTCGAGAAAAGGAGAATAGTGACAGATTGGAATGGCTGCAAACTCATGTTACATGCGACGGACTTGAAGAGCAGCTTGTCTTTAATTCCTTGACAAATTCCTTGGGACCACGAAAACTCTTACATTATGGTATACTTCACAAGGTAATGCAGGAAATTCGTGAAAATTAATGAAGCGACCGGGATTCGAATTCGAAATCTTTCGTTTACGAATCACGTGATACTCAGTCTGCTCTATCACATAGCTTCCCAACATAACATATATATAAGTAGGATTCTCTTTAAGTCTTGCGACTTTTATATTCCTACGGTAATAGATATCTTTTAATTATAGAAATGTTCAAAATTTGTGACATACTTACGATCTTATTATATAATTTTTTATTATAGCTAAAAAGTGGTAAAGAACTCGTCGGCTTTCTCACAAACGACTTCCTGCTGTTTGTTCAACCCATGAAATTTTCTTTGAATTGCCAACAATTTTCATTCGAACGTAATGATCATCAAAAATTTAAGATGTATAGGAAGGTACATAATCTATTTTTGAAGAATATTTATAAATTGAAGCATAATTACGATATCGTTATTGAAAAGCTAACTTTTTAGCCAATATTTCTTAATGAATTATCTTTATGCGGAGAAAGCGACGGAAACAGTAGTTTGAGCGGAAGCGATGCAGCAGATAACTCATCGAAAATTTTAAGACTGAAAGATCAAAAGAAACCAATAATATTATTAGCACCATCTGCGAATGAATGTTCATTATGGTCGAAACGGATCGTGGAAGCGCGGAGGAAATTTTTGGAAAATGAGAAAAATTGCCTGCAAAGACAGCGATCAAGTAAGTTTAACTATTTCGATAATTAATCGGATACTGAATATCGTTTATTTGTATATTTGCAAATTGTGTCTCCACATTATTTGTAAATAACGTGTAAACATTTCATGAACGTCGACATCGAGCTTGTACATTTACGTAGATAATTGTGCTATTTAATAAATTCAATATATAATGAGAACTCACAGTTTATATGGGTGAACAGAACAGGCACAATTTAGAGCGTGCGGCAGAATTCTTGTCACTGTGCTCCAAGGTTTCAACTTGAAAATTCCATCTGGTAAGAATTCGATGTTTCAGGTTATTCCTTATTGCATATCTTTTTTTTATGTCTTTTTCAGTGAAGCATGATGCTTTTAATGCTTTTTTGTGCTTAACGCTTTTGCAATTTCGAAATTCGTATCAAATTATATGTAGATAACTGTCTATCTGGCTCTATTGGAAGAGGGACATGTATTTTAGCGCAAAATCAAATCGGAAATCATTTCACATATCGATTCTAATATTACAATTGCATGAAATGCTTTACTATTAACAAAAATCTGGCGTGATGTTGTAGTTCGCAGAAGATTTCCTCAAGGTACATTGCTACTAACAGTTAAAGAAGCTGAGGATCTTATCATTGGCAAAAAAGGTAGAGTATCGAGATTTTGTATTTTAAATCAATTCTGAATGTATCACGGGATGCTGACTCAAAAATTGAGCTTGTTAATTCTTGTGTATACTTGTGCTACAGTTTCTTTCTTCGTTTTAATTTTTTTCAACGCTATTAAATTATGCTTATTATCTATCTTATCTATTATTATGCTATCTTATCTATTTTCTGCGAATTAAAAGGCAGCAATGTTTTCCATCAATTAAAATTAAATGCTTTATGAATGAAACTGCAAGATCGTGAATGCATGACAAAAAGTTATTTTTTAATCGTTTCAAAAAAGATATTGTAAATATAAGAAATGAATATTAAAATGCTAATTTTACAATAAGGAAAATTAAATTTTTAAACAATACATTGATACCAGCTGAGAGTATATGTTAATAAACAACAGTAAGCAACATAGCCGGTTTCTCGGCAAACAGGATCTTAATTGCTAAATCTTTTGTATGAAATAAATTCAAATAATCATTACAACGTGCCAGATTAGCAAACTTTCAACGTAGTGGTTCTATAATTATTCGATAATCAAATATCTTTGATATCGATTAAAATCCCTTTTTTATTATCTCTCCCACTAGAATTATATATTGCGAAAAATATCATCTCAATCAGCGATCGAACTTGAATCGTCTGCTCTCCGAGCAGCATCTTATCTATTAGACCACTGAGACTACGGTAATATTTATCGCAATACTTAGATAAATAATGTGTCGAACGCCGGAAAAAGACGTTCAACAGGTTTGAGATCTGCGTTGAAAGTCTGCTAATCTAGTGACACATAGTTGATGATATGATTCTTTGAATTTATTTCATATAAAAGATTTAACAACCAAGAGCCTGCTTGCCGAGAAATTAGCTATGTTACTTGCTGTTGTTTGTTAAATTTCATTAAAAGAATCATAAGAATAGGTTTATAGGATAGACTAAGGTAATTGCTACATAACAGAATTGTTAATGCTTCAATGCTTGGAAAATTATATTTTTATATGTCTGAATTTGTCACTTACAGCGATAGAGACTGTTCCTATGCGTATACAAACGTTTATTTCTCTTCTAGGAAAATTTAATGCATTCTGCAAAGTATCTATGGGCTCTCAAGAAGAAAGAACAGGTGTTGTATCTGGAACTGATTGTCCTTGGTGGGACGCCTCGATGCAATTCCAAGTAAAAGATTTACTCGAGGATACCCTTTGCATTACTGTATTCGATAAAGGATATTATAGTCCCGATGGTAAATTTAGATTCTTGTCATGGAAATTGAATAATTTTACATGATTACACTAATGATTTATTTTTTATATTATTTTTATTTATTTTTATATTAAAATATCTGTTAAATCATAATTTTCCTAAAATGTACGTGATATTAAATGTTGTTAATAGAGTTCCTTGGCCGTGCTGAAATCAGAGTGGCCGACATAATGAGAGATAGTAAGAATTCCTGTGGACCAATCCAGAAGAGGATTAAGTTGCACGAAGTTGAAAGTGGCGATGTAATTCTTAAGCTTGATCTTCGACTATTTGAATAAGCATGATACAGCATTAGCCTTTAATCTAAAAGTGCATTTATATAAAACTTTATTTAAGATTTATATGATAGGTATGTAATAGAAAAGACTGCAAGACAGAAAAAAATGTCAAAATTAATATTTATCTTATCTCTTTTCCGTTTAAAAAATTCTGAATGATAATCAAGTAACTTAGTCTCTTAGTGCATGAAAAATATATTTTTATATAAAAAGATATTGAATATATCATATAGATAATACTATTACAAAGTAGTTAAGTTTTATAACATGACAATATAGATATAAGCAGAAAATACACGAAGAATAAGATTTTTTTATCTTTTTTAATGAAGACTCTTAATGAATGTATATTACAAAATTATACAAAATATTGCAAAAACATTGCCCATAAAAAACTTATATTAATATTTATTATTAATATTAATATTTTTATTCAACGTTTCGATATGTTCATATTTAGCGATATGTGCCGATATTGTCTATTTTTCTTTATTATTTCAATACTTAACTGATGTTAACGCTATCTCAAGGCAGAGCTTAACAAACGCTAATTATTTACCTGCCATAAATTAAATATCGTCTCATATCGCGACATTCTTATTAGACGTAATAAAAATGAAGTACAGTCTTCTACGGTTCTATCATGAAGTATCTTTTCATCGAGCAGCGCGCAAAGACATTCGCTCTTTATTCTCTTTGCCACGCGTATACGTTTCGCTTTCACCGATTTTCGTTTACATATACGCGAGGAGAGTAGTAATAAGTATGAGCGAATGTCCAAGAGCAAGACTCAAGAGAAAAGAATCGAGGTTTCCAGTATCCTTTACAAGTTATCCTTTATCAGGTACGGGCGACAATTCCTTGGAGTGCCTAGGCATGTTTAACTCGCTGTTTGCATCAACAATATCATGACGCTCCATATTCTCCGTGGGAAATTCGTAGAGCGGCTTGAAACCACCGAAGAGTTGCGGTTTAAAATTATCGGCATCGAACTCGGTCTTCTCTGTTTGTGTATCGTTCTCCGAGTCAGCAGGTTTCGCCTCATCGCCATCGCCATCCGATTTCCTTTCCGCCCCTGCGGGCGGCTCGACAACTACGACGCTCCAGCCATTTTTGCTAGGCGTCTCGGCGCTCATACTGGCAACAAAAGGAGCCATGAAGTTTTGCGGCGCCGGTGCCGAACTGGAAGAACTGGATGGCTGCTGCGAAGGCAGTAACACCGTTTGTTTCGCGTCTATACTCGCAACAGCGTCCGCATCGTCGTCGAGGTCTTCATCAAGACGATGTGCCGGATGCGGCGCGTGCGTCGGCGTGTAAACGTAAGCGATCGGCGTCGAGGTAGACGTCGACGCGGTCGAGGATAAAGTCGACGCCGACGATGCGAACGATGCGGTGCGATGTAGCGTCACGGAGATCGCCGCCTCGTTCTTCCTTCGATACGGTAAGAAATCCTGCAAGTACGGGATCACGTTTACCGCATCATTTTTCTCGTTTTCTCGCTCGTTCACGATCGCAGCGGAAGCTTGCTGCTGTCGTTGATCACTCGGTATCAGTACAGGTGTCTCCTTTACGGCGGGGAAAACGGACGACGGATCGGGTCGTTCTAATGGGTACGGGAAGTCCAGAGCGACCGGTCTACCGTTGTAAACAGTGCGTGTCTCATCTCGCTCATTCTGCAACAGAGTATCGGGCGGCAACGGTCGCTGAGGGCCTCGTGTACCGACGACGACGCTACCGTCCTTCTCGTTGGAGTCGTCCGGATGTATGTTAACCGCGGTATTGACCGGATACACGACGTACACAGGTTGTTCGGGTACTTCTGATGGATCGTGGCCATCCGATTTTCTACGTTCAGCTTCATTCGCGAGCACGGGTTCCACAGGTTGCGTCAGTCGCGCTTCGTCGCCCTCGTTGCTGAATTCACCATGATGCTGTATCATCTGCAGGGTCGCGACACGCGGTGGATCCGCCGTTCTTCGCTTTGGGAACAGCGGCGGTCTCGGTGGTGTCATCGGCGGTTCTTCCGGATATCTTTCTCCCTCGTTCTCGCGTTCGTCCGTAATTTCGCTCTTACTCCGGTCCTCCTTTCTGCTCTCCCCGCCCTCGCCGTCACCGCCACCGTTACCATGAGCGAACAATCTCTTCGATGGCGCGTTCTCCTCCGGACCTCCTCGTGATACGGGCGGTACTCCAAGCGGAGGACGGAATCTTCGTATCGTTGGTTCCGTTTCGTGAGGTAGGACGACACTGTCCATCTTCGAAGTTGGTGTGAAGGCCAATCTGACCGCGTGGATCGGCGGTGGCGGTGGATTCAGACGCTGAAGATACGAGGGTGGTGGCGGAAGAGGTCTTCGCGAGGGATGAGCTGGTGTCAACGGCTGTCTGATTCTCGTGGACATACCTTGTCCGGCCGGCATCGTCCCTATCACATCCGGGCCGCGATGACCGTGCGATGCCTTCGCGTTAGGACGGAACTGGGGCAGAATATTAGGCAGCTTTGTGTCCGGCGAGTACGGACGTTTCCTAATTCCTACGTCCAACGAGGACACCGGCATCCCCGAGTGCGGTTTGATACGGTGCGGTGGCAAGGGTAATCTCTGCGGTCTTGAGTGATCTGGTCTCGGCGTATCGAATTGATAATGATAATAATAGGATGGCGGCCTGGAACTCTCTGCGGGTGGCATCAAATCTTCGGCGAGCTGCGGCAGATCTCCAGTATCTCCACCGTCCGCGGGAGGATTGACAATCGTTTCATTTGTCGTCGTGGTCAACATCGTCTTGGGCGGTAACTCGCGAATGCTGCCATCAGCTTCGTTTATGATTACGATATGCTCCTCTGTCAATGTATTCTTGTTCTTCGTTTCATCGTCCGGGAAGACGATGTAGCCGGAATCATTTTCTTTGCTTGGGTTTTTTGCATCGTGAATTACCGTGCCTGTGGTAGCAAACGGATTCTGAGATTTCGTCGGATTGAGTTCATTGCTGCTTTTTAGAGGACTGGAGTTGGGTGGCCACCATTTCTGTGTAACGCGATCGGGATTCGGCTCTGTGACGGAAATGGGTGAATGGTCATGTTTGATCTCCTTCGTAGGACCATGCGGATCGTTGCGGAGCGGCCAAAACGAAGCATCGGACTCAGGTAAGCCACCGTAAGGATTCTCGCCGATGGCTGTCCCGACCGAGTAGTAACCACCGTCGACATTCTGGCGATTTCCCAGAACGAAGGACACGGTATCCTGATCCGGCGGTACCACGATGTTACTCGTGCTCTCTATCACGATTCCTGCTCCCATTCTATTCGGTTCCGATTTGATAATCGGATAATTCGGTCTATATTCATGATCGATTATATCATCATAACGTTCCGTAATGTCATGTCTTCGATCGTTGTTTAAGGAGGAGGAAACAACCGGATGCGATATCGCTGGAAATTGCAACGGTTTGTTTGCGAATACATTTTCTTGGAGCGTAGGCAGCGTCGAAGATACAGATCGTAAAGGCGTAACTGTAGTCGACATCGTGGTTTCTGTCGACGACGCGGTGACCACCGTGGTGGTACTTGCAGTCGTTGTCGATGTCGTTGTACTGGAAGGAGTCGTGGATGACGGTACCAACGTAACGTCTTCCTTTAACAAATCTCCAAATGGTAAAAAGTAATCAGTCTCCTCGTTATCACTATCGTTATCGCCGTCGTCCGACGATTCGTAAGTATCATAAGAATCTTTATATTCTTCATTTTGATCTGATGGTTTTGTTTCAGGTCTCGCGTGAGATAACACGATATTGTTGAAATTTGGTTGATTCTTATAACGAGTGACGAGCTGCGCTTTCTCCGTCGCTCCATTGTTCGTTGGATTTCGATGAGACTCCGCAAGACCGGAAGCGTGCAGCTTCTCTATCGGTAGAAGATTCTTCTCGTTTTCCGTCTCTGTGCTCATACGGTCGATCGAGTGAAATGCAATCGGAGTACTGGATGGCTTCCACGTGGTTACAATAGGTGCTTTGGTCGAGGTAGAAGGCAGAGTACGCGACGAATTCGTTATGACCATCGGTGGTGCTGAAGTCGTCGTCGTCGTCGTCGTCGTCGATGAACGTGCGATACTTGTCCATTTCGCTTTAAAATCGTCGATAGTCGTAATCCTTTGCGTGCTCGTTTTCATCATTGGCGCATACGTGTTCTTAACGGGACGTACATAGAAATCATTCTCCGGATGATAAGGTCTGTGATTGTACGTGCTGTAACTGTTGGAACCGCTCTGTACCTTTGTGTTTGCGTACGAACTCGAGATCAACGGATACTTGTCGTTCCCGTATTTATCCGAGGAATAGTGGACGGGCAAATTTAGGAAATCGTGAAAGTTAGGCGTGTACGTGTTAATCTCGTTCGGACCAACGTCGTGGCCATCCTTGTTTATTATTTTTTCTTGTCTCGAATCCGTATTCTTCTTGCCGCCGTTTCTACTCCCCTCGTCGTCGGCTTCGCTCTCTTTATCCTCTCGCTCGCGATAACGACCGGTATAGTTGAGAGCTTTGACAGGCGGTGCCTTCTCGAAGTCGATCTTACCGGTTATCGGATCCTTCTCCAAAGAGAACGGCTTGCCGCCGTTGAAGGCGAAAGGATACGGAATATGGTAACGTGGAACGTCACCGTCGTCGCCAATCGGAGTCTCGACGGTAACGCCAGCGACAGCAGCAACGGTGCTCTCCGCCGCCACGAGATCCAGGTCAAGGTCGTCCAGACGCGTCTTACGTTCCGATATGGAAGAGCCCTCGATCTTGCCGGTTCGGGCCTTTGACCCGGCATTGTTGTCCAAATGGCCACCCATCAGATACTCGCCCGACACACATGCCAGAAGGGCGAGGAATATCCATAGGCGTCTCCGCATCTCTCACATACGATGCCTGAAAAATATTATTATTTATGATTAATCCGTTGGAAATTATAAATAAAAAGTTTACAATATCTGTATTAGAAATTTCTTGTTGTAAAATCACAACAAAAATGTTGGAAGTTTTTATCCAACACAAATTTGTTGTAAAATTATACACAAAACTGTGTGTGTGTGTGTGTGTGTGTGTGTACACGTGTGTACACGCGCGCGCGCGTGCACGTGTACACAACTAATCCTTCTTTTCTGAATTTATGCGGAGTTATTTCGACGCCAGTCCTTTCAAGTATCTGTAAATCTTTAACTATCTCTCTGTAAACTTTATTATCAAATAATTTTTTAGGGGAAAAAGTTAGTTCTGCGATTACTTTTGTCGCTATTGTCTCATTAAACATGATAATTTCTTTAAATACAAAAAGAAGAACAAAAATAATGCAATAATTACGAGTAGTAAATTTCAAGTATGCAAATTTTACGAATCTAAGAACTTTAAACTGCGCTCTATAAATTCTTACAATCAAGCCATAACTATAATGAAAACAAATAATGAAAATCATCATCAAAGTATTAAATTCGATTCCATTTTTAATAAACTGAAAAATTATTATGTATGCAATTTATGGTGGCAAATCAGGATTCCATACATGATAATTTTTCAGTTTTTCAGGTTTGCTTAGAACATGATTTGATAATCTATATTTTTGTGAATTATGATAATTATTTAATAATCTATATTTTTGTGAATTCTATGTTGAACATAAATTCGATTACTAAAGCCACTAATTGAATCGTGTTTAATGTGTTCTGACACAGTCGAGCAAATTTCCGAAAGTCATTCCAACAATCTTATTATCTTTAATTCTTGCCGATCCTATAGGATTTACTATCTCGAAATTATCTTGATATAAAATAACTTTTTTTGCTTCAGGATTTTTTTGAAAAAATTCATTTTCTTTATACCCATTTCCATCATAAAAATCTCGAAATATATTATTGTCAATTTGTATCGGTTGATCTAAATATGTTGCAAATATTTATTTGAAAACACAGCTTTAATAGTTTAAAATAGGTACATAAGAGAAAATTGTTTCATTTCCTTTAACATCTATGGCAAGTTTAACTTTTCTTAGAAAAACATAGTTATTTTGAGTAGTGTAAAATTTCGTTCTTTTAGATTTATTATTCAAGCTCATTATTTAGCTCATTATTTTTAATAAAGTGACTATTTGTAATCAGCTTATGAAGCACTTCATTTATTTGTATATCTGTTAGATGTATTTATTTTAAAGATTCCTGAAAGATTATTAAAGATAAATTCAAATCCTTGATTGTACATATTCTCTATATCTTTTGCAAGTTTATCTATTGTAGACGTAGGAATTAGGTATTGACTTTCTAAATAATAATTTCAAATAAAAATTAGCAATATTCGATTGAGATAATTTATCATTATTTTCATTAAATTGATAATTAGAAAGCGGAAACTTTTTAATTGATGAATTAACGTTATCGTTATCTCATATGCTGAATTTAAAGAAGATTCAAAATTATTATCCTCGTCAAATACATTCCAATTAAATTGCTCTTGGCATAATAAAGAACTAAGCCCATGAGACTGTGATAAATAACCAATGATAACAATAACAAATGAAAGAGTTTACATTATCATATATTTTTTTTACATTGAAGATACGGACAATTTACTTTTAAACCACCTTTCATATGATCTTTAAGTTTCATAAATTCAGAGTAATTTTCAAATCTTTTTCTACATAAAGGCAAGCTACAAGTAAATTGAGCGTTGTGATTAACTAGACGTATTTTTGGTAAGATCTTATCAGTTTTTATAAAAATAGTAGCGAGCGAATCATATACATTCACAAGTAATTTTCTTTTTTGAAAAATTTCGGATCCCTTCCGGAAAACATTCCAACATGTCCGAAATGAAAGTTTGTCGATATCGCTTGATAAAGTTGCTGATGCAAATTATTTTTCCACTCTTGACAGATATAGTCACAAAAATTACAATAATATATTTGAAAGCCTAAAATATCATATTGCATTATATCATTAATTCCGAAATACGTTATATACCAAATACGTTATATATACCAATAACGTTCTTTATGTCTGCTTTATTGTTTTAAAAAGTATAAAAATGTATAAAAAATTAATAATTTTCATAAATATAAACAATATTATAAAATAATCTTACGTTGAAATATAAACAATTTTATAAAATAATCTTACGTTGTACTTACGTTGCTTTAAAAAATGCCTTTGATTTAATTCTGCCGCATAACTTTTTTGATCTATCAATCACCATTAATCATATAAAAATATGTAATAATTTTCTAATATCAATAATAAAACACACATACCTTTCGTGTTTTTACAACATAAATATCTTAAGTTTGACAAGTTGCATTAAAAATACAATCTTTTATTTATTGTTAAATATAAATACTATTGTAAATTAGCAATTTTTAAGCCAAAACATAAATATCGGAAATTTACTGAATTTACGTGTAGTAAAAATCATAAACATTTTTAACAGTGATAATAGAAAATATATCTATACAATGTAATTATCAAACTTTCCTTTTCGTGACTTGTATTTTCCATTTTCTCTCGTCAATATTTCGCATTCGTGCGGTCTACATGATAGCTTCTATCTCAGTTTTACATGCGGGTGTCGTATCAGCAAAAAAAAAAACTTATAAAAAAAGACTATGATCTACATTCCGTATGATTGAACATCGCGACATAATTAGATATATGCTTCCATTCGCTTATCAGATATGGACTTCAGAAACGTTACTGTAAACACGTCATCTTACGCTATAATATGGTCATGCTAATGAGACGCTAATTATGATTGTAAGGTCGTTAGCCTAGGCAAGTTCCGTTCGATTGAAGCCGGACTTGCGGTTGACATAAATAGCCGACTAATATATGCACGATTTAAGGATTCGTCCTCGGGATAAATGCAAATTCACGCGTAGAGTTTCCGATAAACTTGTAAGGTACAGGACATCACTGTTACGTCAAGTGGAATTCCGTTTCAACGTATAACGGGTTTCAGCAGCCTCTCTCTTCACTCGTCTTCCGGCGTCTTCACGCGTCACGTTGTCTCTTTCTTTTCTCTTTCTACATATCTTCCGTACGGATCTGCCTTGTGTTTCCTTTACATACCGTCCTGTGGCTTTGACAATTCTATCTCACTTTAATATCCAGGTCGAGTAACGTTTTGCGCGTGGTGACATGGTATTCGCCCGTTAAAATTGTCTAACGCCGTTCACCAATTCATAACATTGTAATGTCCGCGATCGTGGTTGTGACCCGGTGTCTTGGTATTTCCTGACACAGTGAATGGACGCGCCAGGTGATGGTCAGTATGACCCACTTTGGTCCCCTTGCTTCGGAGTTTTGCTCCCCGAATTGTGTAATTTCAGTTTTGCATGCACGCGGACTCTCGCAAATCATGCGCGATCTTTACACTCTAGATTTAAAGCGGCTTGTTCGCGGAGGAGGGATGTAACTTATATGTAAATCTTCAACGTACAATTGATACTTTTTTTTTTTCAAAATAATAGATTTTCTATTATGATTATAAATCCAATTATCGATAGAGATTTCAAATGCAATCCAGACAAAGATTCAAATTTATTATCAATCCTTTGTTAATGAAAAAGTCTATAATAATTTAATCTGACGGAATAGGATTTAGCCCGACGAAATTATCATACAAATAAAACGCCTCACATCGGTTATAATAATAATTTTAAACATAATAATTTATCATAAAACATTTTTTATACCTCGATTATATGGAAAAATAGTGAGTTGCAGATAGATCGAGGCCTCCCTTCGGCTTTTCACGTTTCCTGGTGTTCCTCCGATTGTTCACTGATTCATCGACATACGATTTTCAATATAGCACATTTATTAAAACGTAATGATCACGTATAACAGTTTTGTGTTGACTTCGATATAAAAAAAAAAAATGGCTTTACGGGTGCAATTGGTACGCGTCGAGGACGAAAAATCAAAGTCGCGGGGAAACTGGCAGGAACGTAACCCTGAAAGAAGGTCGTATGACGACTGAATAGCCTTGTCGTCAGGACGGTAGAAGGAAGACGAAGAGGTGGCAGGAGGACACGCGGTGGAGGAAGATCCTCACTCCAAATGACCCGAAGAGTAGGAGAACGCCGCGGCCGTTCGCGAGTTCGCGAGGAAGAAATGAGGAAGCGAACGATTGCGATGGCTAAAACCTAGTCCAATGGGATAAAAGGATAACGGAAATCTGCATTTACTTATAAAACGCATAAAGATATAAGGATATATAATGTCGCGCGAGAATATCGCAAATGGAATTCTCTTCGTTCAAAATGCACTTTCTATCAAAACGTTTTCATCGTTTCGTTTAATCCTGCTAATTTAATCACACGCGGCGCAACGAAATGTTATCAATAATAACAAAATAATCAAATCTAGATCGAAATATAAATATTTCTATATAACTTCTATATAAATATTTCTTAATAAAATACATGCGAGGAAAATAATATTTTAAAGTGCTAAAGTTCTACGGTAATTAAACATTGCAACATTGTTTTGTTCGTAAAAAAATTTCAAATTAATATTAATAACAATTTCGATTCAGTAGTTTTTAATAGTAGCGAGGGAGAGTCTTGTTCAATGAAGACGGCATGGAAAGGGCGTGCGTGCCGATCGCGTTGCCGCTAACATTACCGTACGATGTAATGTATAGCGTGGAGTACACGGACATCGCATCGTGTAGGTATCTGTTCGCTGTTGCTGCTGCTGCTGCTGCTGTTGCTGCTGAAAGATACAGTCAGGGGCGGAGAAACGGTACGTAGAACAGTTAGACGACGACCCACATCGAGCGGAGTGCCTCGTAGCGGCCGACGCGTACCAGTTTCTTCGACCTTGCACCACAACCAGGCGTCACAAATGATCTTCTAAAATTTTGTGAGAAAAAAACCGCCGAGGGTACGATTCGCTTGTCGTTCCTGGAAAGCAAACGGATTCGATTTATGATATCGGATCTCTCGGATATGGAATCCGAAGCTAGAAAAATTTATTGCGCTCTTCCCTTGCCAAAATTCGAATCGCAATACGAAAGGCAACGCAAAGATGTATCAAACAAACACGGATGTATTTCCCGCCAACGTACATATTTATCTTGCTTCTTTTTGCAACGGCAAACCCAAAAACAATAGAGCGCAATATTGCGAGATCAAGTATATAGGGCGGCATTCATAGTCAGTTCCTATATTTAAAATCGTCTTAAGATAATATTTCAATCGTGTAAGCTTACTTGAGACGAGCTTATAAATATAAGAATGGATTATGAATACCGGCCATAGTCATTGTATTTTTCAAATATCGCACTGCGTCGCGTATAACGCGACGCGATGCGGCGCGGCGCGATGCGTCGCATTGTGAATGATGGATTTATTTAACGCTCGCGATAAGAATATAATCTTCCTTGTCGAATATAATCTTCCAAATTTCATTGCGCAAGTCAAAACGTCTCGTATAAATTGCAAAGTTCATAAAGCGCGCGCAGTCAGTATCAACCAGTTATAAGGCGCACTTGCTCTCGAGCTTCGCTTTCAAGGAAAATAACGCTGAGTTGTCTCGCTTCAATTACGCATTGGGAGATATACGTCGCGCATGTCATGTCGCGAATCGCGTGCATTATTGTTTTATGCGTCCTGCTGAGCGACGCAAGTAAACCCTATGACGGACCGAAGTACAAACAACAGGAAATCGACTATGACGAGTGGAAGCTGACGAAGGAGCCGCATGAAGACAATGTCGAGTTCCAACCGCGTTCAATTGGATTCGACAATGAGCGGGCTGTTTTCTCTGGGAAGCATTATATCAAGTCTGTAAAGAATCTACCGCCGGCTTTAAAGGCTAGATACGTCGTCAATCGAGCTGGTAATGGACCGATACGATCATTAGCATCTGTCGAACAAGTTTCCAACATGTTAATGTAATATAATAACACACGCAAAGATCATTACGCGATAAATTATTGATAGCCATTATTGATATATTTAGTCTTTTGACCAAACAAATCCATATCGCCGATAAGCAATTTTTTATGCAAGAATATATTATGCAAAATATGAATATATATGAAATGTTGTATTAATAAATTCTAAATATTAATAATAATAAATAAATA